AACTATCGACACTCGCTCAACTCTAACCTGAATATAGTTTAATTCCTGGCCCTTTGGAATGATTTTATTTTATATTTGTTTTTCTTTTTAAGCTTTATTCGAGTGGTTTTAAGTGCTCTGAAAATAAGTCGCCAGAGCTGCACTTTGTCGATTTTGTTTGGCTGCGCATCAATTCGATGGCTCGATGGCTAATGCGACCGGCTAATTGCCGAGTGGTCGACTAGTGGTCGAATAGGTGCCGGATCCAAAGTGTGGAAATGAAAAACTGAACCTAAGCTCAGAAATTAGGCTAATGTTGGGTTCGTGCGCGTAAAGAAAATAGAAGCTAAACATAAAAAATGAATTGTGCATAATTGAAGCGCCGCGGCAAAGCTCGAACGGAAGTTGCTGATTGCAATTTGATGTTAACAGCAAATTTAATAATTGAGGAAGGTTTAATTGATTTGGGGAGAGAAAAAATAATAAACAAACAAACTATCCGGTTACCTAATGAGCTACAACATTGAGTAACGTTTTCTAACCAACCTATTAAATTAAGCTTGGGGCCAACATAATTATGAGTCACAAATATATAGGTGTGGTTCGGCGAAATGTGCTGGAAATTAAGCAAAGTAAAGCAAATTTAATGTAATAAAATTTAATAAACATATAAATATAAAAACTAAATTCAATAATAAGTAAATTCATAGTAAATATAAAAATATAATAAAGATATAAAAAACAAATAAAATTAAATAATAAATATTTTGCCAATTTATAGAAATTTTTTAAAACAAAAAATCTTTTTATAAAACGAATTTCTTCTAATTTTCTTTCTTCTTTGCTTTTAATCTTGTTTTTTCACATGCCGTGATCTATGTTCTACGATCTATACACATTTAATTGGAATCCAATTTATAAACCACCGAAAATATATTATTCGAAAGGGCTCCCAAATTATAGAAAACCTCAATAAAAGAGAACTCTGACGTGTAAAAATGTTGCCCCAATCAAGCGCCCAGCGCAAGTGTTAATTGTTAACTTTTAAAGCAGAAGCACAAAATGGGGGCGTGGCATTTTCGTTAATTTACTTAACATCAAAACTCATTTGATTATCTAAATTGTAGCAATTAAAATTAATTTCCATGCCCGGCTGCGAGCGACTTTTTACAGCACATCAGCCATTAAATGCAGTGCAGAGGGCGAGAAAAACGCCTACAGATACACACGCACACACACCCACACATACACACACACTCATTTTAGAAAAAAGAAGAAAAATGAAAAGCGGCCGCCGCTAAATTGAAAGTGAAATTAATTGCAGAAGCCTTGTGGGTGCTTCTTGAGTGTTGATTGCTGCTCTGCAACTGCTGCTTCTTCTTATTTTGCTAAAGTTCAAGTTGAATAGCGAAAGAAAATAACAAGATGACACAGTTATCTTTCGAATGACGAAGCTGAAATGACCCTGCCTATTGCATACCATATACTATCATATACATGATTTTCATATTAATTTTGATATATTTTTCCCATCGCAAAGTGAAGCTATAAACAAATAATTTAAACAAAAATAAATGTAATATCAAAATTAAGTTGTCCGAATCCTTGTTCTGTTAGCTTTATACATATATCCGATTCTCGATGCCTGCAACAAGTATATGGAATATATGTATATACATGGCAAGTTTTATCAAAATAGTTTCAGGTTATATTTATATATATTAATATTTTATTTAATCGAATTGGAGCTACTGCCTTTTTATGCCTTATCCAGCGTGTGTTGAATTTTTAATACCCATTGCAAGCGTATTCAAAGTTCTTGACTTTGCAATGCCAGCATAAGAAATAAACAAGCGACCAAGTTGAGTAAATTGCATTCGTTTGCCTGCAAAAAGTTATTTAATGATTGCATTATTTATGGAACTATGGAGTGCTGGCAGGTCTTTCTCTGGCAGTCTCTCGTATACTCTATTCTCGTATCTCTTGAATAGAACTATGCCAACGCGGGCCCTAGAAAACTTTTGCTTCATTTATCAAATTCATTTGCAATGCCCAGTATGCTGTTAAGCACTGGCATCATATCATTTTTCTTGCCACATTTTACAAACTCAAAGCCGAAGTTGGTCAAGTCGCCGTCCATTGTAGTTGGTAGCGCACAGATTTCGCAGAGCCATTCAAAAGCGCTCAGCGTCAGTTAGTCAGTCGGTTAGTCAGATAGTCAGTCATTCAGTTAGTCGCTCAGTCAAGCTGCCAGGTTTTGGATTTCCGCGCCACTGACAACGACACTTGACACGACCCGAACTAACTGCGGCTACGTGAGAGCCAAGTCGCAAGTGCCTTTCCATTCTATACCCTTCGCAACATTCCTCCCTACACCCTCTTACTGCCATTCCATTCATTCATTCATTCATTCGCACATTCTGCGCGAACAAAGGCGCCTCTGGTCAGCCAACTGTTGACATTGCTAAATGAATGAACCTTAGTTGAGTTACAAAATATCAAAAACAAAACACTCAATTCGAGATAAAGCAAAAAAGAAAAACTAAAGGAAATGTGGTTAGCTATATAGATTTGTACTCAAAGCTGAACTTTGAATACACTTACTGTCGATTCATAAGGAACATGTATTCTTATAATTATATAAAGCCTTTTATCAACAAGATATTTTGTAATCATTGTCAATAAAATCCACAATTTGTTATATAATCATGATTGAAATTATTTCATTATATGATATTATACTATACATTTTGGGTTCCTTTTTAAATAACGACCACAATCACACAAGCTGCCTACAGACAAGTTAAGATACTTGTTTTAGTTTTAATAGTTTAGATAAGTTTCATAAAGAAGGTTAACTAAATGCCGGCAAAGCTCACTTTACTTGCGGTAACTTAATGAGAAATAAATCAAAAAGTTGTATATATTCGAAATAATTTAAATTTGACAAGTTCCTTTATGTTCTTCTTGAAATAATTCGAAATACATTTTTACCTAAATACTATATATGTATGTATATGATTAGCTTTAAAATAAATTTGTAAGATGGATTAATTTAAATCTAAAAAGTCTCTTCATATTCTTCTTCATATACTTCGAAATACTATACCATAACCTATGTAGTTCCAATATTAATATCTAAGGACTATTGATTAACAAAAAAACCAATGCTAATTGCATTAAGCATTCGCTAATCATGAGATTAAAAAGGGAGCAAGAAAATATCTTTCTCGAAACAGCATATAACTAATGGATAACTATAGGCTAATAATGTCTTTTTCATGGCATAATATTCATAATACCCTCTCACTAGCGACATCCTAGCACAGAAATGAATTGTTTTTATAGTCTGATAGCGCATAGGAAGAGAAAGAAAAAGAAGCAGAGAGCTGATGACACAACGAGTGCAATCAAATGCATTAAGCGTAACGGTAACTGAGAACACCAGGATACACTTATCCACCTATTCCATACCCAAACCCCAACCCAAACCCCAACCCCAAGCCCCAAACATTTATCCATTTAACGGTGGCTGGCAAAACTTTTACTGCACTTTGCACGTAGCCGCAGTCGATTTTGTGTGTGTGTGTGTGTGTGTGTGTGCGTGTGTGTGTTTGTGGATTGAGTAAGGGCTTAGGATCGGTGGGGAAATGGTTGCAACAAAGCGTGGCGCAACGCAAATCCCATAAAAATGAAACTGGCTAAAGCAAGTTTGAAATTGCAATTTAATTTCGACCGCAAACACAGTCATGGACCAAAACCCGAACCCGAGCAAAACTAATGGCATCGACCCTAGCTGTGAGAACGTGCAAGAAGTTTTCCCCGATACCGGAAGGGGTTTACTAAAGTCTAGAATATGGACCAGGACAGGGCGTGCGGCCGCCATATTGATGGCCCGGCATGCATTATGCGTGGGGCGCGTGACGGGCACAAATGACCCCATTGCTAACCTTGCCAAGAGTCTTGGCTGTGCCCTGGGTTACCCCTCGGTTTGTTCCTTGTATTTGTTTGTTTGTTTGTCCCAAACTCCCCGCCTTCCCCAACTTGTTAGTGGCATGTGTGTCGCATTTATCACTGAATCGCATTTTAACCACAGGATATTTGATCTGCTGCCATTTGACATAAGTCTTTAAGGGCTTTCAAAGAGGGGAATTCTGAATTGTGCGGCATGTGGATACATTTGGCAGATGGTGTGTGTGTGTGTGTGTGTGTGTAGCATGTTGCAATCAAGCAAATCCATGGGGCAAACATGTTTGTTTTCAATGCTGAAAATCAATATACTGATAAACATATTGCATTGCCACCCTACGCTCCTTACAAGGGAATTGAATTATATTTTCCGCATGGCGCTGGCTCAAGAAAATCCACATAAAATTTACTTTTTCAATTTATAGCCCAAGTTTTGTGCATGCATCGTGGCGAATATGTGACAGGTGGGCAGCTAAATTGTATCCTATTTGTGGGATTTATTTTTATTTCAATAGAAAATCAATGTCTGCCACACATAACCCTTTTCTAAATTTATTTAATATAATTTAGTTATTTTATTTATTTTTTAATATTATTGTAGTCTTTATCATTATCATTATCAGTATACTTATCATATGCATTAGCATTAGCATTAGTATTAGCATTAACATTAACATTAACATTAGCATTAGCATTAGCATTAGCATTAGCATTAGCATTAACATTAGCATTAGCATTAGCATTAGCATTAGCATTAGCATTAAGCATAAGCATTAACATTAGCATTATCATTAGCATTAACATTAGCATTAGCATTAGCATTAGCATTAGCATTAGCATTAGCATTAGCACTAGCATTATCATTAGCATTAACATTAGCATTAGCATTAGCATTAGAATTATCATGATCACTACCATTATCAATATCATTATCATTATCGTTATCATTGGCATTATCATCATCATTATTATTTCAATAAAGTTATTATTAGATATTATTATAATTATTATTCGACATCATTCAATCTATCCCAAAAGATTTTGATACTCACAAAAAATTTTGAAGTTCAGTGACCTTTCCAATAATACTCGGATGTCGATATCTATATAAAATATGAAAATTGTAATAGTGCTGGTTGTGCTCACTTATATAGGTCGGGTACTTGGTCACGAAGCAGAAGATCATGATGAAGAGGATCTGGACAATCCGTATTATTTCAACTTCGGTAGCAAGACGACAATTTGTCCGCAAAACGCCAGCTGCTTGGATGGCAAACCGAATTTCCTGTGCGCCAAGGATCCGATGAAAGTGTCACCAAATTGCAAACGCTTTGTGCTCGTACCCGTTACCCCAAAATCCCGATCGAATATGGTGCATGTGCACAACGGATTGCGCAACAAAGTGGCCTACGACAAGAAGCTCTCTAATATGAATCTGGTCTATTGGAATATGCACTTGCAGCACATGGCCGAGCAGTATTTGCATCTGTGCCGGCCGTACCGGGACACCTGCCTGATTATCGGCCTTAACGGCTATCGAGTGGGTCAAAACACGGTGTTTGTGCCCCGCAAGCACTTCGCGCAGCTCAAAGAATGGGAGGGACGAATGGTGCGGCATTGGTTTTTGGAATTGGGCAGTATCAAGATCACATCGGAAGATTTACTCACGGAGCAGCTTAAAGGCAAAATGGGTAACTTAACCCAGCTAATCTGGCCGAGCTTACAATTTATTGGCTGCAGTGCAGCGATCATGTTTGAAGGCATCTTCATTGTCTGCTATTATTATCCGGCCGTCAACGAAAGCCTTAAAGCCCAGTTTACTTATTTGAAGGCGGACGAGAGCTGCGTCTGTCCCAATAATCGATACATATGCTCTCTGCTTTTCACCAGCCTCTGCGGTATTGATATCGAGGTGGGTGGCGCCTTGATAACTAAGTTCAGTGCGTGGAACATGTTCTTGTTATTGTTTATATTATTTATATTTTATAATTTTCGCTTTTCTCGTGTGTAACAAATTGAAGAACATTGGTATAGAATGGGATCGCTATTGCTTCTGTCAAGGTTTGGTTAAAAGGTCCGCAGATCAAACGAAGGATCTCAATATCTCTCAATAGTCTCTAGAGATTTTTATATGAAAGCTCGCCAAGCTAATTTTGTGTTTATTCTCAATAAGCTCGCCATTGGCGGAACTTTAATCGTTTCTGAATTTCTTAACCTTATAATTCTCAACCAGTTAAAGCAAAAACTTACCCAAGCTCCAACTGAAACTACTTTGAGCATGGCTTCTGCTCACAATTCAAATACACAGAGCACTCCAAATATTTAATTAATTTAATAAAATTAAAACGTAAGAGGAAATGCCCAAAAGAGCTTGTGCTATTCATTTCAGTTTCACAAGAAACCAATTGACAGTCAGTCAGACAGACAACTTGAAAGACACCGAACAGCACCCGGCAAGGGCGGGAGAGACGCATTCGATTTCAAAAGGAAACGCAAAACCCGAACAAAAAAAAAAAAAAGAAGATATATATGTATAAAGGGGGGCGCCCGTTTTGGCTTGTCTTAATGCCCGAGAAAACACACCCACGGAATTAGCAAATCAAGAAGCGACGGGTAACCAAAGCGAAAACTCGCCGAAAGCGTCGACTTTTCCAAGCCCCTAACCGCCAGCTCTTTTACCCACACTCTTCACCTTTCACACCCCCTACTCCCTTGGGAGCCTCCTACTGTCTGGCTCTGGGCAAAATGCTGTTTTGTTATTGGAGCATTTTCGGTTGATAAAACAAACGACGATTGAGGCGTGCAACTTCTTTTTGTAACCCCCAAGTTTGGGGGAAATTCGGATGGTAGACGAAAATTTGCTAAAGTTGATTTCGTGTGGGGTTCGCTCTCGTGTTAATATATATAATAAAATATAATGATTATTATGTGGTCTCTGGGCCCAGATGTGTTGGCAAAATACTTTCTGCATAATCGAGATTGGGCCCGAACAGAAACCCTGGAAAACTCTCCACGAGCAGCATAATCAAAGGCAATAGAAGCCGTCGCTTGTTTATCAATGATTCAATTCAAGTGTGTGCTTTACTCAATGTTGTTGTTGTTGTTGTTGTTGTTGTTGTTGTTGTTGTTGTTGTTGTTGCTGTTGCTGTTGTTGTGGTTGTTTTTGTTGTTGCCAGTCTAATTTGTTGCTTGTTTTGACATCATCAGCTCACTCGCTCCCAACCATGGTCATCACCATTGAGTCTGCCGCTTGAATTTTTATGAGAAAAGTGGCCCCATAATCATTACATACGAGTGCCATTACCCACCCAAGTAAAAAGCCAAGGAACAACAAAATGTTTATCATTACCCGACAGTCATATATATACATATTTCCTCGCCTTCCCCCTCACTCTCCCTCTCGACTCGCACACACTTATTATTATAAGCAAAAGCATGCGAAAAAAAAAGAAATTCAAACTATTTTTATAGTTTTGGTCTGTTAGATGCTCGCTTTTTGATAGAGTAATTTGTCAATAAAAATAAACATCTATCTCTATATATTATACATTAAGTAGAAGTAGTTGTTGTGCACGCTTAGCAAAGTATCGCCATATTTATGTGAGAAGTAAAAGATTATGAGCTGACTTTTATTTAGCTAGAATAGAGCTTAAGTAGTCAGACTGGATTAACTCATGTAAAGAGTTAGCTATTATCTAGATTTTTTTAAATTATAACAGAAATAATCAACGATTTATGCTCAACTATAGCTGGGAGAGAGTTAATGGGTTTTGTTTTCTACAGAACACAATTTATTTAACCACAAAATATTAAGACTTAATTCAGTTAATAAATAGTTGTATAATATTTTAAATAATGTAAAATAAATAAAAATATATAATACATTCAATTATTCGAAGGCTTTAAATTAACTTAACCGAATAAGAAGCAGAACGCTTTTTATTTTGTAATAAAATATATAAAATATATATTAAAATTTTATTTAATCTTTGCCAATGTAATGCTGTGAAAATTCTGATAGAATGTAAGAGTTTTTCCGGATACGGAATGTAATCTAAAGTTTTGCTGAATTTTGCCTTAAATTTCCTACATTTTAAAATAGTTTTAATTTTATTCTCAATTTGAATTATTTCTTTTTATACTCTATAATATTTTTTATTTATTTGCAACAAATCACATTCCTCACAAGCTTTAATTTTTGTTTTTAATATATTAAGCCGCAAATTTAGCTTGTTTCGTAGCAAACCCAATACACACACGTATAGCGCGCGTGTGTGTGTATTCGTGTGAGTGTGTGTGTAAATCAGTGGTTAATGCAAATATTTGTTTAACAAGCAGCCGAGTTATACCTCAGCGCGTGTTTGTTTTTATTTATGTGGCCATTAACAATTATTTACAAGGCAGCAAACATTCATTTGTTCGTTTGCTGATAGAGCGCATACGCCCCGTGCCCCGTGCACCGTGCCCCGCGCCCCGTGCTGCACGCCCCAGGGCTGACGGCTAATAAAATTTAAATATTGATTTATTTGCATAGGGTTGCGGCTCAGTTTTATGTAAGCTCCTTGCGGGCAAGTTTATGGGCCTAGTTTGTGCCCGTTTCGGCCAAGCCAAATTGAGTCATTAGCGTTGATTTTAGCGTCCCATTAAAACAGTTAACGACTGCAACTGCAGCCAATCTCTAACTATGCTTTGAAATCAAGGCTTAAGCTTTGACAAGAATTAACAAGCAAGCTCACAAGCTGACCTAGTCGACCATTTTGGCTGGGAAGTGCAGCCATCAATTACAAAGCTGCGCTCATAAACAAATTTGCGTATAACATCATTTATCATCTGATATATATGAGTATATATATATATTTGTATGCTCGCATAAACGTCGACGCTTTGCAGCTATATGCTCCAGCTGTGCCCACTGTGTGCTCCATTTAGGCAGAGAATACAATAAACAGCATTGCGTAAAAGGAAACAAAACTCACGACTGTGATGATGCTCTGTTTGCGTGTTACATTTTTTATAAATTATTTATATTAATGTAAATATTTTTTTATATATATTTATATGTTTATTTATGTTATTATGTTTAAAATTGAACTAAAGAAATATTCTAAACCCATTTTGTTAAATATTAAATCTATTAAACTACATTTAATAATGTACTTTTCTGGTCAAGCTTCATATTTTGTTGTCAAAATAAATTTCTAAAACTCGAAAATTGAACATCTAAAGTTTAAGAAACTTTATATGAGGAGTGCCATATAATTCAGTCTGAGGCACAAAAGCCTATGAGGATTGGTTAAGATGTAAAAACTTCCCAAGAATATTGGATCACAAATATATTTATATCACAAATTTTGTCTTTAGACATTGCACATACACAGTATATGCCCACTTTGACCGGTTAGCAGAGTATAGAAAACAAACTGCAAACGTTTAGGCAACCGAAGTGCGTTTTCCCAAGAATTGGAGCATTCTTAAATTCCCGCTGCGCTTAGTGATAAGTGTTGCGGTTAATTCATGCGCTCCCATTGAGACAACGCAGACTCATAACTTCCACAACAACAACAAAAATACAGCCCTTCTCACAGTTTCCACACACACAGCGTTTCCCAGAAAAGTAATCATAAATTTGGTTTATTTCCTTCTTTTTTTTTTTGGCAAGCAAAAGTTTTGAGTTCCTTTAGTTATCCTTGTATGGAGTGTGGCGACTTTTGCAACATGATTATTATCAAACCAATGATGTTGATAATGATGATGATGATGTGCACTTTTGCAGTGTTTGAAGACGACTTCCGCTAACTAAAAGAATGAACTTAAATCGGGGCGTAAAAAATAGATGCCTGGACATGTGCATCATTTATCATGCCGTCGACTAAATGATGTTGATGAGTCTTAAAAGATTTGACATGAAAAGTTGAAAGTCGCTGCGCGCCACGTGAACGCGCCACTTGGGGCATCGATCTGGCAGCATTACGCGGCAATTTTATGACCTCTTTGACTGGCATCAATTCAATTGGGCGTGGCTGTTAACACGGCTCCAATTGTTGTTCTCCCTGCTGTAGCAGCTCTTCGCTGCTCTGCCCCAACTGACAATTTTTAATTTAATTGGTTTGCATTTTTTTTTTTTAGTGATTTGTGTGTTTTCAGGTGCTTACGTTTGATAAATGAATGCAAGTAAGGGAAACAGAATGTTATTGAAAAAGGCGTAAGTAAATAGTAAAGGTTTATTAGGCTTTGAAATTTCGTTTCTTTTAAGCTGATTACCAATTTTGTATTGATTTATAATTTTGTATTTGAAATACCCGCTGTTTAAAAAATACAATTTTCTTGTGGGTTTAATATTTTTATATATATTTTTATACAATATACATTTATCTTCAGGTTTTCATATTTTTATATAAATATTTTTTTATTTTATTTAATATTTTTATATTAATATTTTAAACACTTATAACTTTGTCAAACCTAAACAGATTTTTATCAACATTACATTTATGAATATTTTTTTGTTTCAAAAATATTATTACTTTTAAATCCCACTATTATTTGTACTTTTTTTAATTTAAGAACAATTCATTCATAATATGAAAATATAAATTCTTTTCATAAGATATTTTTATATTTTATATGTATATCTTCTACTTATATAAAAAAATAATACTTTATATACATATATATTTTATAAAAATCGCCTAAATGTTAGTTTAGTTAGGATACTTTAATTTCCAGACTAAAGTATTTTAATCTTTCGCAAACACAGTCGATTTCCATTTTAGTTTTATTTTGTATCCAATCCACAATCAATTATAGTTCAATAATAATCATAAATCATTATTTATAGATTTGTTTAATACATTTCCTTCCTTACGAAATATGTTGAAGCTATTATCTAAATATTTAGTATTTCATTTGCCATATTGAATAGTTGATGATTTTATCAATGACTAATTTGATTATTTTATTTCTAAATTTGCATTAAGTATAATTAATTCAGTTCGTATCAAGTGACGAATTAATCATTGTGCAAATGCTTAAGGCTTGGCAAATATCCAGGATTTGTGCAAACACATAATACACACACACACACATACACACACACACAGACAGGCACACTCACACACAGTCACGCACAGCACATAATATTAATTAACTGCCACAAGTTTCGATTGCCAGTGTCATAAAACTGCGCAGACATGCGAGCAATTTGTGTTACACCCACACACACGCACACCCAGCCACACACACACACACACCCGCCCTGTAACCAGCTAAGAGCAAAGATGCCTCACCCAAATAATTTTATGGCCTGGACGCGACTTGTTTTTAACCCTTTTTCGAAAGTTCACTTTCGGCCGGAAGTCGTTCTGCTGGCCATGCCTGGGCTTGGCAAGCATTCTAATTTGATTCATTTTTAGTTGTTGGCGACGACACGAACCAGACGCGTTGCCCCATTCTAAGGCATAACCTACAAATTGCCACAGACACCCCCCTCAACCTCTCAACCTTTGCCAGCCAGTCAGCTACCCTTTTGGCTTGATTTTCAGCTTGTTCTTCTCGTGCTTTTTGTCCGCCTAGGTGCTAAGGCGTTGGCTTGTGTTTGTTGTCCGCGATTTGGGCCAGAGATTAGAAGATTTATACGCAGATTTTGCACTTGTTAAATGGCGCGCGCGCTGCGAGCTGCTGCTGCTGCTGAGCTCTCCAAAGCTGAAGGTGTGTTAGATACGAGCTGCTTGTTAAGCACTCACAACTGGGATTCTGAGTGTGTGTGTGTGTGTATTTTAATTGAATTTGTATGTGGCTGAGCAATTGGTATGCGAGTGCTTAAAGCTTTTGGCTGGACAGAAGAAACATAGCTAATTAAATTGCTCGCTTGGTTTCTTTTTGGCTCTAGATTTGGGGTTAAACTGTCTTTAGATACAAGTTTTTTTATTCAAATTCAAGTATTTTTCAGCTTTCTCAAAATTTGTTCACTTTTCTTGTCTGAATTTTATTTGTGATTTTTTTGGTATTGTAGCTTGTCCTAAAGATTTATTTTAATTTTTTTTTAATTAATTTATTTTTGTATGATCTTTACCAAGCGAAAGACTAAGATAAGGTTATCGTTACAACTTGGTAGCTTATATGGTATTTACAATGATGGGATTACAATGAATTGGACATAGCAATGATAAAATGATTGAGGACATAGCTTAATTAAGTCATTCATGTGATTCGCCTAGTAGATAGGTCACAGAGGTGTAACCTTGGGGGGCGCCTCCCTGTAATGGGCTCAGCCAGGGCCCTGGCAACCGCTAAAGAAATTTATTTGGTCTCCGATCTTTACTTTTAAATTTATATTCATAAATATTTTAGTTTTATTTTTCTTTTAACTATTTTTCTTATTTATTTCTTCTACTTTTACATGCAACGCATTTTAAATAAATACAATTTTAGATTTATATCCAAGCGTTCCTTTTTTGTAGATATTAGGAAATGTATTAAAAATGTATATAAATAATTTCGGTATCAGTTTTTTTCTGCTTCGATCAAATTGAAGCATTTTCTGCTTTCTCAAATATCTTTTAATTATTTTCTTCATGCATACGGATAAAATTCATTAGATACTTTATCAAATTTTTGTTAAATGGATTTTTGTAAATATTCTTTTTGCCGCGCCTCAATTTTCTGTATACAACATCAGAGGCTGGTCGAAAATGTCCGAAACAAATTTCTCAAACCAAAAAAAATATATGTTTAACTTATCGAAAAACTATACATCATGGGCTTAACCGATATCGTGCACAACACAAATTGTAAAAGAAAAAATTAATAGAAAAAAACGAAAATCTTTAAAAAAAAAAAATCCAAAAAATAGATAAAATAAGAAATCGAAAATATTTATCATGCTGTATTAATCAATTTCATATGCTTCAGTTGTTGTTGTTAGGGTTGTTGTTGTTGTTGTTGCTGGGGCAAGCAAAGGAGTCAACGCATAAAAAAGCTAATAAAAAGCTGTCCCGCATTTGATATACGCGCTGATAACGACAACAACAACAACAACAACCACACGACAGACTCCAGACTGAAGTGGACTGTTTTTGTTTTCTTTCTTGGGGTTGGGTATTTTGTTGGCTATGCGTTTGGAGCACGCATGCACCCGCACGAAGCTGCAGACGGCAGCTTGAAAGCGGCTGCTCTGCTTGGCTCCAAACAATTTTGTTTAGGCACGCCAACCGTGGCCAGAGACAAAGGCAAAGACAAAGGGCCAGAGCTGGCCCCAGAGCCCTGCTGTCCGCTTTGAAACGAGGCCAAACCCAAATCCAAAACTCATCATTAACCATTAGGGACGTCATCGATGAAGTAGCTGGCGTTGTTGTTCTTGCTGTTTCGCTTAATTAATTGTTAATTAATTAACATAGATACAATGTGTGCGTGTGTGTCTGTGTGTGCGTGGCCAAAAGGCCGCAACAGCTACATTTTCACGGCTGCCGTTTGTTGTTCTTCTTCTTATTGTTATTGCTGTTGTTGGTTTTGGTATCTCTTTGTTGCCGCCATAAATATTGTATCATAATTTTGTCCGTTTTGTTCGATTTGAAATTTGGTTTTTAACCGCAAACGGCTGCACGCACCGGCGCCAATTTTCAAGTTTTTCCATTTATTTGTTTTATTTTGCTTTTGTTGTTGCGTTTTTCAAATACCGCAAAGCAAACAAAACGCAACAACAACAATAATAACAACAAATTTAAAAATGCATTTGCGTGTCGCTCTTTGTTTTCGCAGGTGCCGGGGTCGACATCAAAATGCGAAGCCCTCAACAATGGGGTAACACTGCGCGAACGGGGGCAACACGCAGACGTCGGCGCTCGCTGCACGCGACACAAAAAGCAACCCGAGTTAACACACAAACACACACAGCACACAAGCTGCGCGGTCAAGAGTCAACAGACGCAGGTAAGCGAGTCCCATAACAAAAATATAAAAAAAATTTTGTATTTTGGCATTTTTTTTTTGTGGTCAAGTGACGAACAAATTAGCTGAAATCGAGCATAGAAATTAAAAAATACCTGACGAGGGGCAGACAGCTGGAATTTGAGCTAATAAGCTCATGTGCCAGTTTCTAAACATAATCATTAAGGTGCACTACAAATATGTTAAACAGACAGGTAGATCTAGAGAACACAGGTACTGTCAACTCAGATTAAATGCTTTTGTTTTTGGAATAAAAATAAATAAAAAGTTAAATTTGACATGAACTAACGTTCCATTAAACCCCCTGTTAGCTTATTGTTAACAAGCAACAAAGCTCTGAAGAGTATAACGATAAATTTGACATAAACTTACGTTCTATTAATCCTCCTGTTAGCTAATTTTTAGGATGTGACAAGGTGCTGTCGAAAAGTTGACACCACCTTATTAGTTGCGTAAATAGTTATCGACGAATATGACAAAATGCTAAAGTTCCTTGTAACTTTAACAGGAAAAACTTAAAGAAATTAAGAGAGAGAGAGTGAATGAGAGAGACAATGAATAAATTTCATTATTCATTTAAGCTCACGACTATCGCAACATTAGATGCAAATTGCTTGAGTTTAAGGCATTTATGAGTAGACAATTATAACAAGATGCTAAAGTACCTTGTAACTTTAACAGCAGGAAAGATAGAAGAAGAGTGAAAGAAGGGATAAAGTATGAAGGAGAGGAAGAAGCGTTAATCGTAATTATTATTTCTGCACTCATTTAAATCAACTATGTTTGTGAATAATATAAATGTTGCCTTACATACTCATGCAGAATGCTTAATTGTGGGGCACAAACATTGCCCAATCAAGCGATTACATTTAGAAGTACCATGGGGAGTACAAGTCACAATTCACACACATATTCATTAGGCCAACATGAACCACATAGCGACTTAATCGGGCTTAATCAAAAGAAAAAGAAAAAAACGAGACTGAAAAAACTGCAATGCGCACTAATTTTGAAAGCATTTACCACACGCAAAATTCAAATCAGCATTTGGCTATGGTCGCTGTGGCCAAAAAACGAGTTATATTTCTACAACAACAACAACTACATTTGGCTCTAACTGTAACCAACATGCAACAGAAATGCGCCCAAAAGCTTGTAGCGCAGAGCCATCAAGAGCAGCACATAAAACCGCAGACAAGATGAGATACAAAATTGTATCTATGTATCTTTTGAATGCGTGCTGTGAGCTTGCGAGTTCATGCGTATGTGTACGTGTGTGTGTCGCTTGTGCTGGCCACATATCGAGTTATTATTGAAATTAAATTACCCCTAATTGAATCTGAAATGGTCAATAAAATCGCATGCCGACAACTATTTTGTATTTGGCTTTGATAGTGCCCCGTGCCGCCTTGTTGGGCATGTTGTATTTGTTGTATCCACAATTTGTTGGGGCTCTCCATTTGCATAAATAGATACTATAGATATATATATATGTATATTTTGTATATGCATGCCAAAAATTTCGGCTATTTCTTGTTGAGTTTTTAACAAATGCAAATTAAATTAATTGTTGTTATTTCCCTTAGATCGGCTATCGCTTAATGCGGCAATTTGTCTTTGTCTGTCGATCGGCCCTTCGGATAGCAGATCTATTATGATATGTGGAAATTCGTGAATAATATAAAGAGTTTGTCTTACGCAGTTCATTTTATATAAAGCTAGCTGTATTTAATCAGCTTTGCCCAGCCCTGTCATATTTTCTTTTAGTTTTCCACGGGGGGAGGAGGAAAATACTAAGAGAGATACTTTCATCTCAGTATCAAGTATCTATAAATGTTAGATCTTGACTCTTTCCACCTATTTTCTACCCTTGTAAACGGAATTCCGCACAACCTCGTCGTATTCTACCAAGTGGGTTGTACACCAATTAAATGGTCAGTCAGCACAAAGCTGAAAAAAATATTTGCAGCCAATAAAAGTGCTTTAAAAAGTGATGCTTGAACGTTTCTCGATCAATTCTCAAAGTGATCGCTAAACGAACGATCGCTAATGTCTGTTGGTCTATAATTGTCCGCTTGTTAGACGGCTAATTCCACTTGAATTTCCATTTAAGCACTTAAGGAAAAAGCACGTTTTATTTCTCATGAACAATTGACGCGAAGATCGCTTGGACGTGTAGACAAAGCCAAAGAAGATCACTCAGATCGACAACATGAAATCAGAGACAGCGACAGCGACAGCGACAAGAAGTCAAAAAGCTAATTAGGTTTAAAGAACAGGCAGAGAGAGACACGATGAGAGGGAGCGGGAGAGATCAGCACAGATCACTGATCGACGGGCAAAAGTAAATTACATGCGAACATGAAAGATGCAGATAAACATGCCAAACAAAATAAAACTCATGACGATCATTAGCCAGGCAGCAAGCAACAACAACAGCAACAACAAGAACAACAACAACAGAAACAACAACAATGACAGACAGTCAGCGAATTGATGATCAGTCAGTGATCTATCGACTTGCCCCTTGTCGTTGTTATTATGTATGCCAAACAAAGTCACAACATGTGGACAACATGAATAAAAAATAAATAAATAAGAAAAAAAAAGAAAGAGCAGAAGGCTACAAATAAATTGATGTAGCCATAGAACATGCAACTGATCAAACGATCATCGTCATGATCATGTTCATTATTATTGCACAAGTGCAACCTGATTTGGCATTGGGAACGCGATTCCTTCGACAATCTGTGCATAGTTCGGTGTGCCTTCAATCACAGCGCATTCCATGAAACTGTTTAGCTGCGTTTAAAGCGCCCGTGATCTGTGGCCAGCCCAGAGACAATACAGACAAAATTGGCCAAGAATGGGCTAGGACATGCGGGGTCCTTGGGACACTTGTGCTGCGGCTGCCTTGGCGCAATTGTGGCCAAGATTTATTTGCACGCCCGCGCTTTAAGGGCCAAAATGTTGCCTCAGCTCTGACCATATTTTGTTGCCAACAACGGCGTTCGACAGTCGCAGCACCAATTGCAACAAAGCTGAAAACTGAAAACTGAACCTGAACGTACGACCTGCGCTTCGGGGCCAAAAATCTTGCGCGTGACTTTGCATTTCTTTTGGCCTCGTCTTTATACCCTCTACGCATGAAAAACCCGTGAGAATGGGTATAGTAGCTTAATGCGTGTGTGTGTAACAGATAGAAGAAGGCAACTCATTTCACATAAGGTAGACTTGTTCTGCTGTCTGTCTGTAGCAATGCTTCGATCTCAAAAACAATAAAAGCTACAGGCTTGAAGCTATAATAAGTTTATCGTATATCTTAGACAAGTATATTTATTCAAAACTATCGATGTTTGGTCTCAATTTCTTGAGCATTGAGAGAGCTATCTAAGCTGCATCTGGGCGAAAGACAAGACAAGACAATTTCCTTTTCGTTTATTCCTCGCAGTTTTTTAAATCGATAAATATCGATATTTAGTCTTTATTTTTGTGGGCATTGAGAGATTTTTGAACAGCAAATTCGCAGTGCGCATGGCCAGCATATTTGCTTTTCAAAATATCCTATTACTTTCTCAAATCGATAAACATCGATTTTTGGTCTTATCTTTTTAGCATTGAGAGAGTTCTCAGGCATTGTGAGCGCTCTAAAACCAAATGTGCTGTGCGCTTGACAAGTTTACTTTCTTTTCGGTAACTCACAAAGTTTCTGAAATCGATAAATATCGATAATTAGTCTGAATTTATTGAGCATATCTCCTATATTATGAGAGCTACTAACACCAAATTGCAGTATTGATTGGCCTATGGTAACACAAAAAAAATTATTTTTAATTTTGTTTTTCGCTTCAATTGAATACAATCTATAAGCCTTGAAGATTTCCAAATGATCGTGCAATAGTCAGCACATAGCCTGAAACTGGGGGAGAGTCAGCTAGAAGCTGGCCTAGGGTAGCTCCTAGTCGGGCACTCTTAGCTAGATGACTCTTACTTGATATTTTATCCGTTCTTCGTTTTCATTTTGGCTGTTTCCTCTTTTGTGGCAAAAAGATTCTCACGCGACTTTGCCCAGAGGCCTTTCAAATTGGTTGACAAACTAGCAGCATCAGCACCTACTACCTCCCGCTGCCACTCCCCCCCCCCCCCCCCCTATGTACGCTGCTTGAGTTAAGTAATTGTATTTCGTAGTTCTTCTAATATGTTTATCGGAATTGCGATTTTGGGTCTGGGTCTGGGTCTGTCTGTGGCTGTGGCTGTAGCTCTTAGAGCTTCAGAGCGTGCAGCGCCTGCAGCTTTCGCTTCACTATTTGCAAATTAAGTGGTAGCCAAATGTGTTTTAGTCCGGATATGGGTGCTCATTGAGCGAGTGAGTCGACCGAGCCAATGAGTGAGTCGTGGCTTGGGCCAAGTGCAGTTCGTTAAATGAAACAATTAGTTGCGGCGCTTCCAGCATTGTTAATCGTGGGAGTATTTCAAGACGTGCTGTGCACAGAGAAGCTAGATAAACGAAAGTTTCTCAGGTTCTATACATTATTTATAGAAAAGTCATGGAATTTATTTCGAAGACTAGAGTTTAGCAGATGATTTTATGGTACAAATAATAATAATACCCCAATAGAACCCGAAGATCGTAAAACGGAAACTCCAATCTAACGTTCCTGTTTAGGCCTGCAGTTGGAAGATTCGTATGGGAGATTCTCTTTGTATTCCCCCCTTTGTGGGGAACTCTTGGCACAGGCTGAAAACAATTTAGCGGCACATTCAAATGAAAGCTGCTTAATGAACTCGAACCTCGCAGCACAGAGAAAAGCACTGAATATGGCATAAATATGGTAAATGCAAACATCCTCTTTAAGGGCAGCTCCGCAGAACTCCAATCGTGCACATGTTTTAATGCCCTTCAAGTGGCCTCGGGATTAGCCTGAGGCGGCTGTCGGGACTTGAATTCTGCGTCATTCGGTGCGTCCGCTCCAACCCTTGGG